AATAGCCGAGGCTGGGGTTCCCAAGTGTCCTGAGGGGTGCTAAGGATGCTGGGGACAGTGCAGAAAGAGCTGCCCTTGGGCATTCTGGCTCCGTTTGCTGCATAGCGGCACCCCTCCCCCACTTGCCGAGCCTCAGAGGTTCTGACTGACATCGGTGCCAGGTGGTTAAGAGGGAAACAAATCAACCTACGCCAGGAACTAGATGCTAGAAGGACCAGTCTTTGGTGCTTGCCAGAATAACAGAGCTCCGTGTCCCCATGTGTCATCACAGGAAACAGGGGGCCACGCAACCCGTGCCAAAGTAGCTGGGGCCAGCATTCTGCCTCGAGAAGCAGAAGCAATGCGATGCTGAGCTGGGTGGCTCAAGCTGCTGGTCAGGGGCTCAGGAGCCAGGCCTCTGGGGGACGGGGGTTCAGGGACAGACTTGAAGGTGGCTCACGAAAAAGACACCCATCAGTGGTGGCTTGTGGGTGTGGAAGAGCCCAGCACCTGCTGTCTCAGTTGGCTTTGCTGTCCCTTTCTTGTCTTCATTTTTTCAGGTAGGGCCTCAGGTCTCCCGGGCAGGCCTCGAACTCTCGACATCGGAGAAGACAATCTTGTACTCCTGAGCCTCCTCCCTCACCCTCCCAAGCACTGGCATTATGGGCATGTGCTACTGTGCTGGGTTTCTGGGGTAAAATCTTAGGCTTTATGTGTGCTAGGCAAGCGCTCTGCCAGCTGAGCTATAGCCCCAGCTCTCCCTTTCTTTGTTTTGTAGGATATTTCCTGTTAAATATGGCTTAGTTAAACGCCATGGTGGTGAGTATGATTGCACAGGATCCACTGTCTGCTGGATTCAGAGTGTTCCCTAAATGCCCGTGTGCCAAAGGCTTGGTTCCTAGCGTGGCACTTTGGGGAGGTAGTGGAACCTTTAAGAGGAAGACCCTTGTAGGAGTTGTTAGGTTCCTGGGAATGTCCTCAGAGAGGATTGTGGTACTCCACCCTCTGTTCTCTTCAGCCAGTCTGCCCCACCACAGGCTTCTACCGTGAGGTAAAATGTCAGGGCCAATGGACCATGGACTGGACCCTCTGAAACCGTGGGCCAAAACAGACCTGCTTACAACTAGCATCTCAGGTGTTTGGTTACAGTGACAGAGAACTGACCAGAAAACTCTTGCGGTGGTGTGTTGACCTTCAAGGTCCAAGGCAAGCAATTCCTTATCTTTGTTATCACTTCTTACTGCTCCCATCCTCCCTTCCACCACCCCTCCTCCATTTCCCCCAGCTAGTCTCAGTTTGGAGAGAGTCCTCAGTTCTGGGATTCCTACTTTTGAGAAGACGTTAGTGAATTGTGGGGTGTCAGGACATTGTATTGGTTGGCAGCTGGGTGAGTGAGCAAATGAAGTTCACACTGATGATTGCCTGGGGTGTGCCAGCCTCTGCCAGCCACAGGTTGGGGTTGGAGTTGGGGTTGGGGGGTTGGGGCTCCGGATGGTGCAACTGCAGAAGCTAGGCTTGATCTTTAGGAGGCTCAGATGAAAGGGAGGTGATGGGCAGTGTCTCTGTCTCCGTAAAGCATCCTTGTTCCATCTCTACGTGATGCTTTGGTGAGGGGCTGATCTTGGGTTTCCAGGGTCTGTTCACCATCTGTGCTTCCTAGCAACCCCTCTCCATCGTGCCCCCCCCCAGTCAGGTCACTGAAGCCTGAAGTCCCCTTCTGTTACTGTCAGAAATGGCCCCACATCACAGGGGATTTCCAGACCAGTCCAGAGACTGACATCTCCCAGAAAGCCCTGCCCTGGTTGTGTATATGTGGTAGGGAAGAGACTTGGGAGTGGATAGAGAGAAACTGATGATGCAGATCTGGACGACAGACATTCTCACCAATGTTGAGGTTAGAGTGCTGCAGGCTTCTTGCCCACCTCAAAGACGGCTTCTTCCGAGCTGCTGGTTCTTGGAGAGGAGGAGAAGAGCGGCAGGCAGTTACATGGTCAGGGCCTGACTAGATGAATTGTGTCGTGTCACCGCCGATCAAATTGACTTATTGTTCAGGTTTTCGGTGGTAATTACAGAGACCCTCAGACTTAATCATCACCAGGTTTAATCAGGAGAGTTGGTCTTAAGGATACTCAGAGGATTGATTACAGCTTAATAGATTTATTAGGAGCTAAGTGGGCCAGCAAGTAATTGGCTGAGGCTGGCTTGTTATAGAAAAGGAGCAAAAGCTAAAAGCTAGGGGGAAAATAGGTCATGGGGTGGTGGGGAGCAAGGAGAGGGGGAGAGAGGGCTGGGCCATGCCGAGAGAACTGAGCAAGTAGAACTGTGTTCTCCTAAGGAAAAGGCTTTGGGGGAATCATTTTCCACAAGTCTCAGGGGCTAAACAGGGCAACAAGCTGCTTCATGATCCTCCCGCCATGCCTTCTTCCCTCTGTGACGATGGATTGGGGGTTATTTTTCCTCAAACTATAAGTCAAAAATATGACCTTCCTCCCTGAAGTTGCTTTTTTTTTTTTTTGGTCAGGCATTTGATCATAGCAAATAGAAAAAGTGAGGAGTGTGCCTGTCAAACACACCAGCTCCTTTCTGTCTGCCAATCCTGCCTAATTACCACCCGGGAACAGTCTCTCCATTCTCTGTCCTTATACGGCAGTCCTTCTCGGCTACCCTCGGTCCTTGTGGCCTCGTCCTCTCGCTGTTGGCTGAGAGGTCTTCCCAGCCAACACAGTCATAATGCCAGTTTTAAAGCCTGGGCCCTCACTCTTCCGTTAAGAGGTGGGCTGCTCTGTCTGGGTGGGTGGCTGGCTGAGTGCCTGACAGGGCAGAAGATGCTGTGAGTTCTGCAGGAGAGGGCGCCATGCTTCTTTTGGTTCTGTGGTCTCCCTTCTCAGGAGGACTCCTCTGGGCAAGTCCCCTTTTAGAAACCGGCTACCGTATGTTACTGTAAAAGTCCGGGTCATACGGACAATGGAGGTGACCCGAAGGACCCACCCCGGAGGGTCCAGCTTGCGAGCTCTCCTCCTGAAGCCACTGACCTGAGAATGTTTTTAGAACTCAGTGTTGTGGCCCCAGCAGTTCCAGCCGTTTGAGCTTCCCAGCTACAGACTTGGACACAGTGGAGGGAAAAAAGAAACTGCGCGTGTTATGCTCTCACTGTAGAGTATGATAATGTAATAACAAAAACAAAGAACAAAGAACGGCCACGTCACGCTGCTCAGTTTGAGGGTCACTTGTTGCACAGTAGGAATAGATAGAACCCTCATGATGTCCTATGCCCACTTAAAATGTCAGTGATTCCCAGACGATAGAATGAAGTCCCAGTTCCTCTGCTCTTCAGCATTAGCCAGCTTCCTGCCCACCTTAGCGGCCCCAGGCCCAGCCTTCCTGCCTGTTTGGGTTCTCTCTGCTTCCCTGGGCTTCCCCTGCATTGGCGCCCACACTGGCTCTGCCTGGGTGGGAGAGAGACAGCCAGAGGAAATTGAGGCAATGGAAATGTATTTTGCTCTCTGGATTCCTTCTCCTCGGGACTAATAATGACAGAGGGAACCCGTAACAGGTCCAGGTTTTCTGTGAAGGACTGTTCATAGAATGGAGGTTAGTTTCTGGATTGGGATCACCTGCATTCACGTGGATGACTGCAGTTACTTAAGCTCTCTCTCTGTGCTTTAACTGATTCACCTACATAACAGGGTGATAGGTAACGCCTTGCAGAGTTAAGGCACGCATTGAATGTGGTTAAGAGTTTAGGATGCTGCCCAACAGAGGATGCTGTGAAAAATGAAGAACATAAAAACACACCTGCAAGTGGATTCCTTTAGTCATTAAATCTTGATGTGTGTCACTTTCTGGGAGACACCTTGACTGACAGCTCCCCTACAGCTGGCTGCATTGGAAGGCCCCAGTCACAGCACCTTTGACACCTTCAGCACATCCCAGCCGCCATTTTGCCACTGGCTCTGTGGTACTATCGTTGCAATGACTACAATCCTGCTGTTTACCTAGTAGACTCGAAGATAGTTATCTGTTTGGAAGTGTGGTCTTTCTCAGGCTGGTCTTGAACTCGATAGGAAGAGAGCCTACTGCCTCCACCTCTCAAGGGCTGGGATTTTAGACCTTGAAGCACCATGCCCAGCTAGGGGAGGTTGTTCAAGGGGTCGATGGACGATCATAATGAGAAGTCTGAACTGGCTTGGACTCTTGCGCAAGACCTTTCTCTTGTTCCCACTGATGCATTGTCAACACCAGGGGGCGCTGTGGTCGCGCTGCATTTTACCCACCAGGTAGTCATAAGTGGCCCAGATGGCCGGTTGCACGGGTGTCAGGGCCTGGCTCCCACTAGCCGCTCTCTCAAGCCGGAGCATTCCTTTCCATTCTTCGCGTCTCTGTGTGTGAACCTGTACGTGAGACAGTCTCTCCCCTCCCTCTCTGAGTGTGTGTGTGTGTGTGTGTGTGTGTGTGGGCGCGTGAAGGGAACATCTCTCGCAGACATGCCTGGGTTTATAAAGCTGTAAGCTACATTTCACGTTTCCAGTCCTATCAATATCTATGACTTGAAACACGCTGCTTTTTCTCCGTGACTTGAAACGCAGAGTGTTTCTAGGTTTCGGGCTCCACGCATCCGTAGCCCCCGTCTCCCTAGCCTTAAATGCACACTCCACAAGAGAGATTCCACCTTGAGCCTTTTCCAGCTGGATCAGCCTAGTGTGCGACCAGCCCTCGGGGACCTTGGATGAGGTTCTCAGTTCACCTGCGCTGGGAAGGCGAGGCGAGCGTGCGCGTCCATCCCTCCAGGCACCTGGACCACCAGCTTCCTTGCGCTCTCGCTGCACTTTCTCCCCCAGCCCGGGTCTCCACCGCTGGTGAGCCGAAGTCGTTGCGGAGAGGTGTGGAGGGGGCGGGGAAGGGGCCCGGAGGGGAGGGGCGAGAGAACGCTGTCACGGAGTGTCACGCTGCCCCTCCCGCCCTCCGCCCGGGGGTGGGGGCGTGGAGCGCGGGAGGGCGGGCTTCTCCGCCAGCCTTGCAGCTCCCGGAGCGCACTGGCCTCCTGAGCAGGGCACGGAGCCCGCGGCCCGGAGCTCGCAGCCGGCCGTCGCCTGCCGTCGTGCTCTGGGCGGCCGCCGGGTTCCTGGAGAGTGCGTCCAGCCATGGAGCCTTTGCACAAAGACGCTGAGACGGCGGCGGGGGCGGCAGCGGCGACAGCAGTAGATCCCAGGGGGCCGTCCACTGGGGTGGTCGTGCAGGTTCGAGAGAAGAAGGGACCCCTGCGGGCCGCCATCCCCTACATGCCCTTCCCGGTGGCTGTCATCTGTCTCTTCCTCAACACTTTCGTGCCGGGATTGGGTAAGAAGTGCGGGGCGGGGGGGGGGGGGGGGGGGGGGGGCGAGGGGTGGGTGGGTGAGGGGAGCGACGACCCTTGTGACTCCTTTGACCCCCTGAGGCCCCTGTGACCTGGGCTGCCTGATGGAGAGTGGGGGCAGGGGAGGGACTGGACACTGGCTGGGAGCTGTGGGTGTGCCCACCAGCCTCAGGCTGTGATCCCACGGTTGGTATCTGGCAGGTAGCTGAAGCCCGTGGAGTGGGCGTCCTGGAGGAGAAGTATCGCTTTAGGGTCTCCGACCCGCAAGCGAGGTGGTCAGGTAGAGAAGAGCTACAAACTTGACAGAGAATCTTGGAGCCCCAAGCAGGCAGCCAACGGCTCCCTGGCTCCAGGCTAGCCTACCGTCCAATGGAATCCTGGCTGTTTTTCCCTATCGGGCGCATCTTTCTGGGATCCCATTACTCCAGGAAGAGAGGAAGCAGAGCAGGAGGAACTCGTGGCAGTGGTTCCAGGGAGCCAGAGAAGTCAGTTGTGCTGGGGGAAGGGGGGCCCACACAGTTTTAGGAGACACAGTTTAGGAGACGTCATGCTTCCGCGGGGCAGAGCCTGTAGGGCTGACAGCTCTGTAGCCAGAGTCTCTTTTCCCGGTGCCCGCATTTCTGTACAACGAAGGAAGGGGTGGTGGTGATTGTATTATTCACTTTGCACGCCTGTGGATTTGGACCGCATGTGACCAGAAATAACCCGTAAGAACAGAGTATGCCCCAATGAGCCTGAAGGCTCCAGACCCCTGGACACACCCTAGTGGCATTGCTGTCCCAAAATAGTGCCTAAGGGTGAAGAGAGGCAGAGAATGAGAGCTTTCCTGACCTCTCTCCAGCCCCCAATCTCTGCCTGTGCTCCCCTCCCCCACCTCCAACTTGATCACTCACAGGTAGACCCGGCACACCAAGAAGGCATCCTCCCCTGCAGCTTGCAGGGCTGGAGAAGTAGGCATCCTGTGTGTTCTCCAGAGAGCCTGCTCCTGCCAGCTGCTCAAAGTTCCCAAAAGCAGAGGTCAGCTAGAAGTGGCCTTCTGTCTCCCTCTGGCCTTTCTCATGGCCTTGCTCCTGTCGGGCTCAGTGGGGACTTCCTCCGTGGTGATTTTGAAGGCCACGCCCACTCAGCCGGAACTGTTGGTTTTGCCTGGACTCCCAAGTCCCTGAGGGTTGCCCTGGCCAGGAGTTCCAGGCTGAGCAGAAAGTCAGAAACTTCAACTGGGCTTCCCCCTTTAGCGGCCTGCCCCCACGTTTCAAGTCATCAGGCCAACTTCAAATGTTAGCTGCTGCCCTGAGGCGAGCTGGTGTTAATTTCCATGTGCCCAAAACGTCCGCCTGCTGGAGTAAAGCCAGACCACCTACCTGCCCGTCTCCCTGAGGATAAGGCAAGGTGCGTGTTGATAGAATTTTTTCCTAAAGCAACATCCTAACATAGGCTTCTGAGAAACAAATGCTGTGGAATCAGGTGGGCAGGGCTGCACTGAGGCACTGCAGGAGAGGAGCAGAGCTGTGGGAAGCCAGCCTGAGGAGGCAGCAGGGCCCACACACTCATGGCTGGCCAGTGCAAGTCCCTCTCCGTGCAGGGCACGAGACAGCTTTCTCCCCTAAGTCCTGCTGCTATGATGGCATCCATTCCACTCACCTGTAAAACCTCACCCCAGGGATCTGGCTTTCTCCCCTTCACAGTTCCATCTGTAGGTCAGACTCCTGTGGGGTTTTTACTTACACACACACACCTTTCTAAGAAACTTGGATAAAAAGAAATAAACTACACAAGGACTATGGAAATGTGAGATGTGGAAATGTGCATTTTCAGCAAGTTAACACAGGCTTTTTTTTTTCCCCCCATTCTTACCTCAGTTGCTATTACATAGTTTTCTGGGTGTGCAGGCCTTGGCACCTATCCACAAGTAATGGGATTTCTTGGGCCCTTGGTAGGTAGGGCTTCTCATCTGTAAGTCTGAGATGGCTGGTCCTCTAGGAGACTGGGTGGATGAGATGTGAGAGGTCAAAGCCCCAGGCTAACCACAGAAAACATGCTAGAAATGGGTCCGTGTGGTGTGTCCTGAGCATGCGCTCTCTCTTCCATACTTCTTTTTTCTTTTTCAGATAAGGTCTTTGCATGTATTCTTGGCTGTCCTGGTACTAGCTAGGCAATCCAGGTTGGCCACAAACTCGAAGCAATCTGCCTTAGACTTCCATGTGCTGGGCTTATTCCTGCTTGTCCTCTGCCACACTGCTTTATCCACAATGCTTTGCCTCATTTCTGGGTGGGGTACCTGGCACAGTGGCAGCTCTGCTTCTGAGTGCTCCTCATCTTTCTGCTTCCCTCTGTACCTGCAGTGGTGTCCTCAACAGACTCCAGACCTTGAAAGCGTCCCCCCACCCCGCCCCCTGCTATCTGCTATCTCCACTGCCCTGGCCGGGGAGTACTTTGGATGGCCTCAGCTCCTGGAAGTCCTCCTCTTGGCTCAGGTCTACAGCTGCTAATCCTCCTGGCTTGCTCAAGGCTCCAGAGACAACTGACTACTCAGACTTTTTCTTCTGCTCTTTCATGAAATGCAGCATCTTCTAATCCATCTATGTATCCACTGAGCCAGCACAGGCACCAGCATATGCTAGGCACTGGGGAGGCAAGGATGAATCAAGCAGCCAAGACCAATGCCTGTGCTGGAGAATGAGCACAAACCTTGAGGAGGCCAGCAGGGACAGAGAGTTTTAGCAGTAGTTAATTCTCCCCGGGGTAGGGTAGGGATGTCATAGGCTGCTTTCCCGAGAGGCAGTTGGAAAATTCATCCATGGCCCACACGCCCCTCCCTACAGCACCCACTCTTTAGAAACTGCTCAGACTGACACAAAGATGCCATCTTGCTTCTGGAAGTTTCCTTTCTTACAAGTTATGTCCTTCTTTTGCAACAAAGAGGGCAGCCAGCATTGGCTGAATGAAAACTACCTACCACCCCGTGTTACTGGTATCTCAAGCCCATCAGTCTGTGGGACTTGCCTTGCAGAGGCCACAGTCCTAAACTACCTCCAGACCTCTCTCCATCCATGTTGGTGTTCCGTGGAGAATAAGATTTGCCCTGGGAAGGAAAGATTATAATCATTTCCCATTGTCTCAGTGAAAACTTTCATTGATTTTTTTTTTTTTTTTTTTTTTGTGGTGTTGGGGATTTTTTTTTTTTTTGTGGTATCCAGGTCCCGAGTCCATGCTAAACAAGTGCTCTACCACTGAGCTGCATGTCCAGGCTGAAAAACCTTTTTGTTAAATGGTGATGTGGTGGTGAGGAGGGACATCATCTTCATTCTAATTCAGATAACCTGTTAATAAACGTGATTTCCAGGTCCTTCATGTTTCAAGAAGGAAGTCTCTGTATAGGTATATACGTACATATATGAAAATCATACACACACACACACACACACACACACACACACATTACTAGATGTAATGAAAGTTACTGTATTGTGCCCTGAAATGGTCTGGAAACTTGTCAGTTGATGACAAACAAGTCATCATTGTGCTTCCATATTTAAAAATTACGAGCTGCTGTGATTTGATGAGATCTAAATGTTGGTGGGTCAGAGAGACAGAGCAGGTGGCGAGGAGGCCTTGTCTACTGACCACTGACTGCTCCATCAGTCCTGATATTGGCCGTTAATCTACTGACTGTGGCATAAACATTCACCCCTCCTGTAGCTCACTGCTTATACTCTGACACTACGGAGGCCTGGCTTCCACAGGAATGCCCCAGGAAGGTGCAGCTCATAGCTCTTTCCTTTAGTCCGAGGCTCAAATTGGTGACCAGTCAGCCCCCACCTTGCTGTGTCTTTTGTACTGATGCCTTTCTGTTACTGGTTTGAGAATTTATATGTATTCATCTAAAAAAATCGCAAGTTCTTGGAGAGCAGCAACTGTTTAAACCTTTCTCCTTGAACTCAGGTGCTATAAATGAACACGCACTGACAGCATTATACTCCTGGAGGAGGCATCGGAGACCACCTGGTCCAGCCCTTTTATATAACACATAAGGAAAATAGGCCCGAGGTTTCAAGAATGAGGGGGAGTTTATCTCCTATTCAGATCTCTTAAGGGAGTTACTTGAAGATGCTTCTTCAGCAGAGTAAGGGAGTACATGAAAGATCATATGAGCTCCAGAAAATAATGGGTCCTACTGAGACAGAGGAGGGGGACCCACCTCTCTCTTGGGCACTGGGCTAGCGTTAAGTACTGCTAAAAGTTTCTTAAGATCACAATTGGTTTTAACGAAAAGGAAGCTGGCTGCTTGGCAGTGAAGAAGCAGCTGAACAATTTGAGAGCATCTGGCTAGGGCACCAGAAGAAGGCAGCCAAGGCAGAAAGATGGCAAGGGAAGGCAGTGAGCTGAGACTAAGGAAGGATAAAAGACTACAAGAGGCAGAGAAGAGCAATTGCAGCCTGGCTGCCTAAGAGATTCAGAGAGCTGTAAAGTCTTTCTCTTGTTTTTAGTTTTTTGAGACAGGGGTTCTTTGTGTAGCTTGGCTCTCCTGGAACTCAGTCTGTGGAGCAGGCTGGCCTAGAACTAACTCATAGATTTGCCTGCCTCTGCCTCCTAAGTGCTGAGATTAAAGGCATTTGCAGTCACCACCTGGCTTGAATTCTAAAAGTCGTTGGGGCCAAGGATCCTGGGCCCTGAGTTGGGAGCTCTAAAACTGGCTGGTGTTAAGGGTTAAATAATCCAACTTCCTAGGTCTAAAACAACAACAGCAAAACTATAACACTGCCAAGTGATGAATCCCAAATCCCTAAGCCCATACAAGGGATGCAAAACCTGCAGGGCAGATGATCCTGGTACTGGAGGCCTGCATGAGAATTCTAGTAGAAAGATGCTACCTGTGGCTGTGGGCTGCTAAATACTGGGGGTTGGGAAGGGTGAGGATAAAAACTGCCAGTGGCCAGGGCAGGAAAAAGAACCCCATCCAGCTGGTTCAAAGCACTACTTAGGC